CGCACTGTGAAGCTGTTCTCGGTGTAGTAACACAAATCTGAAAGAGCGAGTCATCACCGTGGCCTTACTTGGCATGACGTCGAGCCCAATGTCCTCCCCACCATCTCCTTCTTGGAATGGCGAGACATAAACAGTACCAAGAGGAAAATCGTGGTCTTCACGGCCTGTTTCTTGCTTGCCGAATAGGGCGTGTATTCTTCTTGACTGACCACGCCCTTCAGATATTTGCAGTTTCAGTGCCGCCATTTTTTCACCAGACCTCGGTGTTGACCTCTTGAGTATGGGAGTCTCTTCCGGTTTACGACATATGAAACTCTTTGGCATCGTGAAGATATATACTACCTTTTACAATGACTGCGACGTTAAGAAACTGTTTTGACAACTAAGATTACATAAGTATCAGGGCCGATGGTTTCGATATTTTTGTTGTTGTTGTCGCTTTATATGTGTCCCATTTTGATGCCCAGTCCCAAACCCACAAATAAATTCTTCTACTAGCCTCTACCTCTAAGTCATTCCCGTTTTTTCACTAAACTGATCAACATTACCTGCAATCAATGAATACATATTTCCAGGTGGCCTCCGTTAACCAAGCGTATGTTGAAGTAATTCAGTTCTTTCCAGAAAACACATAGTTTCTTTGCTTGAGGAATAGTTCTCATTATGAAACACGTCCACTTTTAAGGATTTTAATAGTTTTAGCTCAAGTCTATCATAAGAGCAAATGTTATAATGCTGTACCAGCTGAAGTCATACCGGACTGGAAGTGTTTGGAGCAAACAGTCTCGGCCCACTATGGCAACAATTGACCTGTTGATCGATTATGCTACTTGATTGGCTGTCAGAAATCAACGCAGTAGTCGATAAGCATAACTGAACTGTATTTACAGAAGTACTCCTTATTATTTTTTTTTCCTTTATGGCGCACCTAGACCCAGGATACTAGGAAGTGGGCTGGGGAGGGGGGCGATCCTCCAAGGGCGGCACTTTTTCCCCCCACTATATTGAGGGGTGACATTTTCGGACAACGGCAGAGTTTTTTAGTGGGAGGGAGCATACCGAATCTTGGCCCTCCCCGGGCGGCATTTGCCGTAGCTACGCCACTGCCTGAATCCCCTCACAGATTTCCGCGGAACACCACAATTAAAATATGAAAGAAATATTAAACTAGTTTACTGTGGTTTACACGTACCAAAATTTTTTAATTGTTTTTTTTTCGTTTTCTTATAGACGTGAAATTAACAAGCACCAGTAGATTTGATTTTGAATGCTGAATAATGAGACATAAAATAGTTTTCACGTTGTAAGTGCGTACAGGTTTATCAATAGATCAGAAATTTAAGGAAAATAAATTTAAAAACTGCCCTTTTCTTTATTCTTAAAAAGGATATATCTCTGTGTATATATATAAGCATACAGTGCCAACGGTTTATTTTGCATCAATTTTGCCCACCCCACCTCCTCCACCCAAGTCAAAATGTTCTCTAGCCACACAACTTTAAAATACATTTTAACAAGCGTTTTATTAATTTTTAATTCATATGGAAAAAGCCGACGTATTTATTATTATTATTTTTTTAATCCATAGTTTTATCCGTTCAAACTCACGATAATCTTTCTCCCATAAATTTTCGACGTTAACACAGAACGAATGAGTTTTGAAATATCTTAATCTTTTGGCTTCGGCTTCGCTTTCGGCCGAAAGTTATTTTTTTTTTAAGGTACGGTCTGGTTTTGGTTTCGACCGACATCTGTCGGTCTCTAGACATTCTTACTGTAATCTGATAATGCAGATTAAAAAATAATAATAATAATAATAAAAATTAACGTCGCACTGAACATAATTTATCTCACGGGAAGTCTGCAAAACTCCATATCGCTTCCTGTTTTGTTATATACATTACACCAAGTATGGTCAACTTTTGTGTGTAGAGAGCTGCTGAATGGATATGAATTTTTGTTTTGCAGGGCACAAGATAATTTTCTAGAAATCTAGTCTAATTTTAAAATAATAAAACTCATTTCCGATGGTCGTCGAGAATTCACTCTGAACCGCAAATATGTCGCCCGGGGCGGGCCAAGAGAAAAAAAAGCTAGGGAAATTTTTACAAATTTTTAGTTTTTAAACTTTTTTTTTTTTACAGTTTGAATATATTACACTGGTAATCATTTAATTTTTGGAGACCTTTATATCTGTTACCATTTTGAGATTTTACGAAAACATTAAGATATTATCCGGTAGGTCTTGTGGGCCTCATTAAACCTTTCAGCGGACCAAAGGTTTTCAATATCTGCAAAATACCTTTGGCGTTCAAATTTCTCTTTTTTTTTTTCTTCTTCATATTATTTGGGGGACTGGTTATCGTCCTTATTGTCATTTCTTTGCCTTTTATTTAGTGACAGATGTGCATACATTAATATAAAGTCAAATTATACATTCTTTCATCTAGTATATAGGTAATGAAGGCTTGCAGCGGAAACGTATTTACGTGCATTTTACCCATATAACTACTATAATAAAGTCTAAACCCGCTTGTTCGTTACACAACTATTTAAATATAATGAATATTTGTAAGGCTGCGGCTATTCGGACCCGGGTCCGAGAAGTCAGAGGTTAGGTTGATTAAAAAATGTTTAAAAATTAGTGTAGGGTTTGTAAGACAAAATTTGATAGCAAATGAAAGATAATTGAATAGACTCTATGCTTTTAAACTTACTTCTTAAGTTTAACTAAAATAAACTACCCACAAATGACATCCGAATAGCATTGAGTCAAATTGGAACCGGAAACGCATCGCCGCTATTCGGACCCGGGTCACTTTAGACTCAATGCTATTCGGCTGTCATTTGTGGTAGTTTATTTTAGTTAAACTGAAGCATTAAGTTTAAAAAAATTTAGTCTATTCAATTATCTTGCATTTGATACCACATTTGTCTTACAGCCTAACAATGATATTTTATTAAAAAAAAGTTAATCGCAACCTTTAACTTCTCAGACCTGGGTTCGAATAGCCACCTCGTATTTGTAATGGACGTACTACAATAACCATTCAAAATTATTAGGACGAATAAAGGACTGAGGTCTTTTTCCTATTTGAATCTATTTCATTTGTTCATAGCAAACTGAAAAAAAAAATGGTTGTTAACCCCTGCCCCAATCACTTTTTTTTTTTTTTTAAATAAATTTTTAGTTCTCACAGTTCCCTGTAGTCGGTGTTAAGATGGTGTCTTGTCAAATAAGTGTTATACAAACATATACATGAACTCAAAGATAACACAGCAACGCAATACAATTAATACAAACTGATGCTTTGCACTAAAAAACATCATGGTTAATGGTCAAGTGTGTGAGTTTCGAAACAAAATATACGGAGATAGGGGCCCTTGGCACTACGAATTTCCTCCAAATCCTCGATTTAAAAAGTCCACCGAAGCGGCGAACGAAATACTACTATTCAGTTAAATATAGTGAAGAAATAAGGTGTTATAATACATAATACAGTTTGACATTTATTGTCATCAACACAAAACTGCAAGAAACTTTGATTCAATTCTCGTACCCAAGGCTCACCTCATCTCTGGCCATTAATTCTCATCACATTGTGTAGGTTCGCTGTGTGGCCGAGGGGGGCCTAAACTGGGTCAATCCCAAGCCAAAAAAAAAAAAAAACATCACCAGCATCCCAGGGGGATGGGACCCGTTAACCTTGGGATTGGCAACTCACCTAAGAGAAAGCAAAAAACTCTGATTCAATTCTCGTACCCAAGGCTCACCTCATCTCTGGCCATTAATTCTCATCACATTGTGTAGGTTCGCTGTGGGGCCGAGGGGGGCCTAAACTGGGTCAATCCCAAGCCAAAAAAAAAAAAAAACATCACCAGCATCCCAGGGGGATGGGACCCGTTAACCTTGGGATTGGCAACTCACCTAAGAGAAAGCAAACTCTGAAATCAAACCCGGAGATGGAGCCCCGTGGGTGGTATGACACTGACAAAATGAAAACTCCGACAACGCCTGCGACGTAGAACGCAAAAAGACCATCGTGAAACTCACACACACACACGCACGCATGCACGCACGCACGCACGCACACACAGTGCTGGTCATCTACTGCTGCATCCTGGCCTATTTCCAGTCGTCTTGACAAAACTTTTGGCCCTTGAATCACATACTATTTGAAATAGACCAGGACGAGAGAGTGAGGCTGACGAATTGAGGAAATTCCCCTCCCTTTAAACAAAATACAGCTCAAATATTGCTTGGGTCATCTTCGCGTGTGTAGGAAAAAACAACAGGTTGGCGATATGGCTTCTGACCGTGGCTCTTAATGAAAATGGTGTCAATTTGTATTGTCAATTGGCAAATTTTAATAATAAAATGCTTAAATTAATTATTACATTTATTATCTTCAGTTTCAGGTCGAACATTGGAAGAGTTCAGGAATTGATTGATTTCTTTCAGTTTCAGGTCGAACATTGGAAGAGTTCAGGAATGGATTGATTTCTTTCAGTATCAGGTTGAACATTGGAATTGTTCAGGAATAATTGAATTCTTTCAGGATCAGGTTAAACATTGGAAGAGTTCAGATATTGATGGATTTCTAACCTACCTAGAAAAACTACCACAAATCGAAAGGAGACACAAAAATTACGTGAATCGTAATTCACGTTTTTTACAACAACAAAAAATGAAATAATAAAATAATTAAAATTTATGACTTCATGAGTGTATTACAAGCCTGTTTTCGTTTAAAGTGAACTCACTTTACGTAGAGAGATTTTTTTATTTTTTATTTTTTTTACACAATATCATGATCTTCACAACCTCACTAAAAAAAAAACAAAATCGAAAACAAATGAAATATATAAACACGTTTAATATGCAAAAATTTAATAGCAAAATTTAATGTAAGTTTGTAGTAAAGGGACAGCACTAAACAGCTGACGAAATCTAAGGAACAGCATTTAGTTTGTGTCCAACACAAAATGCGTTTTTTTAGCCTTGTACCCGGATTATAAAATTAACAATGTGTGTCCAGCGCACAATTTTTTTTTTTTTTTTGCACTGCCCGTGTCAAATAATTTCTCTTTACTGATAAGAATAGAGAGACCAGAAAATAGTTAGAAAACATTACATTAGTAAAACGAGGACGCTAACAGAATCAAATCATTGACACACACACACACTCATTTTTTTTTTATTAAAAAAAAAATCAAATTTAAATCATCCACCATAACAGTAAAGTTAATTATCCGCTATCATCGTCGTATCCAACACTTTTCAAAGGGCTGGAAATATTTAGGGAAGATATAAAGAGAGCGGAAGTCTTGGAATGCAGTTATTAAAATAGCCAATGCTACTCCACTGGGAGTTGAAAAGGTACAAAAGAAAGAAAGGTGAAATCACGTGACACATACAGGAAAGATCCTAGAATTAATTTAAATTCTTCACCATTTTTGTTCCTCTTCCAAACAATTTCGCCACGCCCTTTTATTAGCTTCCCCTACCTCCTGTCACTAGCTGTTCACATTTTATACAGACTTAAATGGACATCTTAATCGCCGCCCCCCCCCCATGATCCAAACAAATATTACCCCTCCCTCCTTCATTTTAACCTCCAATCCTCTTGCCTTATCTTTTTTAGAAGTCTCTGTAGATGTCTCTATAGATGTCTCTATAGATGTCTCTGTAGATGTCTCTGTAGATGTCTCTGCAGACGTCTCTGAAGATGTCTCTGTAGATGTCTCTGCAGATATCCCAGTAGATGCCACTTTCTCAAATAGTCCCATAATCGACTCCTATTTACGTCTATCTCTTAGACGTAGTTTGGGAATTACACATAGACTACTCAACTTAAGTGTTTTTGTGCCACAAGCCCTGAATGTCACCTCAGGTAGAAAAGTTAAGAAAACTCCATTTATCACCATTTCAGTCCATAGAAAGGGTGACACTGCTTTAGACTGTTGTAAAATTCGAACGAAACAAAAAAGATGATTGGATGATTTTGTAGAAAATTATATTTAGCCGACTTCAGAAATATGTATTGCGCTGAATAATTTCATCAATGCTTCACAGAAATACCTGTTAATTGTCATTAATACTTAATACAAATCCCTGTAAATTGTCATGAACACGTTATACAAATCCATATAAATTTTCAACAATACTTAATATAAAACCCTGTAAATTGTCTTCGATACTAAATACAAATTCATGTAAATTGTCATGGATAGTTAATACAAATCCCTGCAATTGAGTTGAACCATGCAGTAACAAGAAATCAAAGCACTCTACCTCAGCTAGAAACAAAGTTAAGGAGGGGGGGGGGGGGGGGGCAAGGACAGTTAGAACTGTGAGCAGCAAAACGAGTCTGATAAAAAATACTGTACTCCAATAAAATTATGGATGTGGTCGTTACTATGAGCACTGAACGGTGAACGAGCCGTAGATCAATTTATGGCTTGCACCATATGTCATGGCTTGGTTGCACTCAGAACAAACACATGCTTCAAGTATAAGGCCTAAGGCACGTTCAGATATTTAGACATATTATTTCGGACAACATTATTTTGACATTCGATCACCAACATGAAATTATCTATTTACATATAAACCACACTCCCCCAACACAAAAAAATAATTAAAAAATAAGAGAAAAAAAAAATTATAATAATATTTTTTTTAAAAATCATCATAAAAAAAGTAATAAAAAAATAGATCATCAAAAAACAAAAAAAATTAAAAACAAAAAAAATTAAGATTAAAAAAACAATACGTCATATGTTTTACACTATCCCAGAAGTTGAGGAAAGGGCCTGTTCGTCTGTGCTATTGCCGTCCGTTGGAGCTGTGGCAGCATCATTGGCATGGTTTAAGTCATAATATGATTGACATCTGCCACACTGCGCCACGACGCTCTCGGGTGTAAACTCCGTACTTGTTGGTGGGGGTCTTCCGTGCCTGCATGTCGGGCACAACATTCTCCCTGGTCTTTGTCCTGAAAGTAAGATACGACGGCTGAATATGGGAAAATAAGATACACTGGCTGGATAAGGGAAACATAGTTGGATAGTAGACAACTGTGGGGCATACTAAAATAAAAAAGTGGGTTAGGTTTCAAAATTTGTGACTTGGTAATCTATTTGGATAGGAATCAATAATCATTACCTCATTAAAAGAAAACGGTATATATTACAAGAACTGGATGGGTTACGATTACAAAATTACTATAAAAAAAACAACAACAAAGTTTGTGTACAAATCCTTTATATACTTTTTTTGCATTTATGTAATTGTACGTGATTATCATTTATTAAGAACAATTATGTAAATGGGTGAGCTTCTGACTAAAACACGTTTCATATATCCTTCAAAAAAATACATTTTATACTAACTGCAAACCCAAATACGTCACAAATATAAAGCACAATTAATCTCCACACTTAAACACGCCGCCATCGAGCCAATCACATTTCATTGATATTCCATTCTAAGAACAGGACCTAAAAAAATGATTTTGGTGGGGGTTTTGGGTGGGGCTGAAAATTTGCGAGAACACGTTGTCATTGGCATCGAGTCTATGTGCCAAGTTTCAGCTCGATATGATGACGGGAAGTGGGTCAATTAGCCGTCCGAAATTTTTTGGCCACAAACACCCAAACACATGAACGAACGCGAAGTTAATATGAAGAATTAAAAAAAAAAGTGTGAAAAAGGTTTGAGCTAATTATCTGCTCTATTATTTTTTTTTATAAACGTAGATTTTTAACACATAATCTATATATCATCCATTTGTTATCTGAAACAAATCTTAGTTAACTCTTTAGGGGAATCAAAACTTCTTTGTTTTATTATTGTCTGTGACGTTGAGGAACGTGTCATCGCATCTATGGAAACTTTGACATGCGTACAAAACCGGACTGTGTTTCGTTTATATGTACTGGGGTTTCTTGTACAAGGAATGCAGCCGACTAGAGTGCATTTGATATTGTTTAGCTGGGATTGGTCTACGTTGTTTGGTCTCCTCATGGTTTACATACCTCTGTTTTCCCTGTTCTTCGGTGTGTCGTTTTGAGAGGATGCCACTGGGTTCCTGTCATCATCTGTGTTTGAGAAGGAGAACACTTATCAAGAAAATTGGAGACGTCCGGCCAGTAAAATTATTATAAGGGTCATTAAAATTATGATAATAGCCAGTGAGATGATGATTAGAGCGATGAAAATGATGACCAGAGTCAGCAAAATGAAGACAAGAGCCATTAACATGATAAAAAAGTCATCAAAATAATGATAAGAGCCATTAAAATAATGATAAGAGCCATTAAAATAATGATAAGAGCCATTAAAATAATGATAAGAGCCATTAAAATAATGATAAGAGCCATTAAAATAATGATAAGAGCCATTAACATGATGATAAGAGCCATTAAAATAATGATAAGAGCCATTAACATGATGATAAGAGCCATTAAAATAATGATAAGAGCCAGTAAAATGATGATGAGAACCATTAAAATTATGAAAAGAGCCATTAAAATAGTGATAAGAGCCAGTAAAATGATGATGAGAACCATTAAAATAATGATAAGAGCCAGTAAATGATGATGAGAACCATTAAAATTATGATAAGAGCCATTAAAATGATGATAAGAGCCATCAAAATAATGATAAGAGCCATCAAAATAATGATTAGAGCCATTAAAATGATGATAAGAGCCAGTAAAATGATGACAAGAGTCATTAAAATGATGATAAGAGCCATTAAATGATGATAAGAGCCATCAAAATAATTATAAGAGCCATTAAAATGATGTTAAGAGCCATTAAAATGATGGCAAGAGTCCTTAAAATGATGATAAGAGCCATCAAAATAACGATAAGAAGAGTCAGCAAAGTGGTGACAAGAGTCAGGAGAATGATGATGAGTCAGTAAAATGACTGGCCTCAATATTTAGCTTAACCCAAGTCTATCTCGAATCTCTACCCCCCCCCCCCCCCCAACCCAGAAGAGTCAGCAAAGTGGTGACAAGAGTCAGGAGAATGATGATGAGTCAGTAAAATGACTGGCCTCAATATTTAGCTTAACCCAAGTCTATCTCGAATCTCTACCCCCTCCCCCCCCGGAAGCCCTTTGTAGGCTTTAAGTGATTATTTATTTAATTAATTAGTAGGATGTTTACGGCATGCTTTCTGTACATTTATTTATAAAAAAATTATGTATGCAAAATTATTTGTGTTCAACTTATATCCCCCTTTCGCCGTTGAACATTCGTTGTTGAACATTCCCAAACTTGACTCAAGCTTCGGTCAACTTACTGTCCGCAAATTTGCCAAGTTCAAAGCTGGTCTCGCCATCAGGTGTCAGGGTGGAAGGTAAGCCAGCAGCACCTAAGAAATCATCAAAGGAATGTCTCTATTAAATCGACTACTGAGGTTTTGGTGCATTGTGGGTATAACTATTGGAGCCTTTGTATGACTCGAAAAGATATCTAAAATGAGAGGGCAAAGATTCTGTAAATGTTCTTCTTTTAAAAAAAAATAATTAACAATTTGATGGTATCAGAATTGACGGTGTTTAATTAAAGTGCCTCTTAGAATGCATGATTTGTATTCTAAGAGGCACTTTAATTAAACGGCGTCAATTCCGATACCATCAGATTATTATTTTTTTTTTTAAATGTTACTTCATTTTTTTTTCACGGTAGGATAAATGTGAATGCTTAATAGGAAAGTATACTACGATATCTTCAATTAATCTTTGATAAATCAAGAATTATTTTAAGGATTTATCTCGATGTGGGAGTTAAAATATATGAAAGGAGATTGACATTCATTGTAACTAAAGCTTCAATTAAAAGATGATCTTTTAATTCAAGAAAATGTATCGTTGCTTTTAGTTCATTTTAGTCCATTGTCTACCGAGTGGGCATTGCAAGCCTTGAAATAAATTAAACCAGAAACGATGAATGCCGGGGGCAAGGCACGAAACCGAAAGGCGGCGGCGGGGGGGGGGGGCCCAATCTTCAAAAGTCACGTGACTGCTCTGTACCTAGTTTATAAATATAACTATTACTATATTAGAGGTTACTTTTTAAAAAAAAAAAAATGTTATTAATTTAACCAAAATATATACCCATTTTAACTTTTGCAAATAAAAAACATTTTATTTTAGGGGGGGGGGGGGGGCCCAATCTTCAAAAGTCACGTGACTGCTCTGTACCTAGTTTATAAATATAACTATTACTATATTAGAGGTTACTTTTTAAAAAAAAAGAAATGTTATTAATCTCACCAAAATATATACCCACTTTAACTTTTGCAAAGTAAAAACATTTTATTTTCTCCATTTTTTAAACGAAAATTTTAACATATCTTTGCTCATAAACTGTCCATAAACTGAAGAAAAAAAAATATGGCCCTATTTTTAAGATTAAATTAACACGTTTGTAAAATTATTAAGTTTCGATATTCATGTGTCTACTTATGTAAATGTACCGACGTTTTGTCAACGTCAATGATTTTCTTAGTTGGTAAACATGTATTGGTTATTTTTAAAGGAGACTCCAACAACTCCTTTTCACGACTGTAATATCATTGGCTGTAAAGCTATTGTCATTCACGTAAAAATGTACACACCCTATTCCTACCCCCCATATATGTTCCTAAGAAGGTTAATTATTTATCAAATTAATTCCTTTATTCTAAGGCGCATCTTGTGCTGCCTGAGGCAAATTGAAAGTATCGAATTCCCCCAACCCCACCATTTTAATAAAAAAAATTAATAAAATCATCCATGGCATGGGTACCTGTGTGTGAGCGCATTAACTACAAAATTGTGTCCCTGGCGCACAGCTGCATAGATGGCTCTGCACCGGAATATCTTAAAGAACTGATTTCTAAACACGTATCCTTAAAGAACCTGCAGTCTTCAACATAGTCCTCACTGAAAATTCCAAATCTGGATGAACACAGAAAAAAAGTCTTATGGAGTGCGCTCTTTTGAAGCGCTAGCGCCAAAATTATGGAACAGTTTGCCTCAATCTTTGAGGGGAATTGAAAATGATAAAAAAAAATCATTTGAGAACCATTTAAAACTTTTTCTGTTTAAATAAATTTAAGAAAACCTGAGCGCAGTGAGCATTTTAAGTGGCATGGATACCAGCGCTATATAAATATCAAATATCCAATCAATCAATGGTAGCCTCCTACGTACACCATACATTTTTGAACGTCCATAAAATTAAAAAAGGTCCCATGTCCCTTTTACCACACATTTGTAAAAAAAATTCTTAATATTTACATATATATATATTATACACAAAGCTCCTTATTTTAAAATATTATTGTTAAGGACTTGAGTGTATAGTGTGATTGCGTGTTGGTTTGAGATTATTTGTGTTGTTTTATCTGTTATTCTTAGTATCTTGTGACGTATTGTGTAAAAGGGATATGACGTATTATTGTTGTAGATTTGGGTGTGGAGTGTTGTTCTTTGAGTACAGTAATGGCAGTTGAGGAATTAGTTGATGAATAAAGATATTTTATCTAAGAATTATAGTTGTGAAGTGTATATAATAAACCCCTAGACAACGAAGCCAACGAACCTATCAAGTAAGAATAGTTTTGTAACAATTATGGTTATATATTTTAACATTGAAAAACGTACCAACGTTTAAACATGTAACAAAATAGGGTCTTTATATAGATATCTTCTTATTTAAAGTATTTTTAGACGTTAAGTTTTGATTGCTTTATGAATTTGGTAATTTTGGAACGAAAAATAAGTAAATCTTATTAATTTTTTAAAATACAAAGCTAAAATTTGGTGTGTTTTATTAAAATTTAAAAAGCAATCAATTGTAGTAATTAATTTTTACTATGCTCCCTGGGACAAAATTTTAAAATATGCAGCGCCCCCCTCCCGCAAACCCATGGGGAAAATGCATTATCCGTTTTGTCACAAGCGGTTATTAAGTCAAAGAAACTTAGGGCTTTTGTATTTGCAAGTTAAAATTTCGCTCTTTTGAAATGTATATACCTTTTTCTTTATTTGAGTTGTGTTGTAATATTAATATGATATTGTTCGAAGACAATTTCATTTCGCAATATTAACAACACTCTAAAACGCGCTAAAATCTAGAGATGTTTGGGTTTTTTCCCGATAAATGTGATTTTGATTTTATAAAAAAATAATTCTTATATAATAATTTATTGATTGAAAAATATCGTAACTTTTAAATTCGGATATAATGCTTAAAATAGTTCATTAATTATTATTAAAAATATATTTGTAATTTATACTAATAATACTCAAATATAAATTAAAATAAATGCGGATATATTTTTATTTTCGGCGCATTTAAACTGATTCGATTTCCGTAAAATAATTGAAAATCCCTATCATTGTTTTTAAAAATATTTGAAGTATTTAAATCGATTCGTTTCTTTGTCATTATATAGTCAGCCTGGCTCTTTTATATATATTATATATATATATTTATATTTATTTATTTATACTTTGTTATCATTATTTCCCCTTTACCTAATTCTGAGCAAGATAGAAGAGATTCCCCACTGGCTGTATATGCCGAATCTCCAGACTGTTCCGCTGCTGTGTTATCACCTATTGAATTAAGGTCTGTGGGTCCTCTCAAATGTATACTACGCAGCAGCTGGTTATCTTCCCCACCTTGGCCTTGACCATTGTGGTCAGTTTCAGCAGGTCTCGTCAAATCGACATCGCCATCCTCAACACCGTCTTCTTCACATGGTTTCATAAATCTCACCATAGACAAGATTAAGCACGCAAATTTTATCATAAATCTCATAATTATTTGATCGCCATTTTAAAAAAAAAAAAAAATTATAATCCTTGATAATATCGGGAATTCCCGTATATCTAGTAAGGGTAATCACCAAGTAGGCCTACCCTTATCTATAAGGCACCTTGTCACATACATGTATCACTTATATTTACGCGATTTCATTTTATATGTTGACCACATGGGCGCCAGCAGAAAACTTTCTAGGAAGGGGGGGGGGGGCAAAAAAAATCGATTAACTTTCCGGGGGGGGGGTGGCAAGTGCCCTCCTTGCCCTTACCTGCGGGCGCCCATGGTTGACCATACAGCACCGATTTCAATAGTACACAATATAAACATCCCTGTAACTGCACCAAACAGCATGCAAACTTGGGTTAAAAAAACAGAGAAAACTGACATTACTGCATTAGGACTAAAGGGATTTCTTAAGAGCAATGATACTATTACTATTAATAGAAATATACGTTGTATTTTACTAAAATAAAATGTATTTAAATCCAATAGAATACATATTCTTACATAATTATATGTAAATATATGTTATGTGTATAATGTAGGTATTATTATTGTAAAAAAGGAAAAACAAAGTTTCAATTATTTATTTGATTGTGTGAGTTAAAATTGTTTTATACAGTTTTGACAGCCGAATTAAGGTATCGGAATTTCGGGGTTTCTCCAAGTGCCTAATGATAGGAGATTAAAACAACACTATCATCTGAGTATCACATGTGTGGTCTCAAATTATCTTGACATGGCCAACAAGAAAGTAATATATTGTAATTTAAATCACCTCATGACAAAATTCAAAAAGAAATATTGGCCATCGTGAGTTATTCCAATTTTCAAGTCTGTGTGGACTGGAAGTTGAATGTGTGAGCGATTTATGATCTGCGTTTGATGAACATTCCAAATTGGGTGCTAAGTACAATTTCGGATCCTGAGGCTGTGGGCACTGAGACAGTTGGTGCTGTGGGTACTGAGACTGTTGGTGCTGTGGGTACTGAGACAGTTGGTGCTGCCGGTACTGAGACAGTTGGTGCTGCCGGTACTGAGACATTTGGTGTTTTTTTATACGGATGCAATCATTGTTTTTTTTAAATGGAAAACTTTTTTGGACGGATTTTAAAAGAAAAAAAAATGTCATTAACTATTTAAGACGTTTACCCCCAAAACAGATTGAATATAAATTCAAAGCCACATCACTATTTGGTAAAATAAAAAATACAAATAATACAAACAGGTCAAGCAGAGCCGTCGCTTGACGTTTTGAGGCCCTCTGTCACTTTTCGGCTTTGTCCTCCGCATTGCTTTCAAAGTTGATAAAATTTTTGATAAAAAGCTTTAAAATATCCCAGTTCACCTGCACCCGTGGGGGTTTGAGGGGCCAACACGATGGCTCTGGTATTTAATGACACCTACATTTTTAACTAGGATCTCTTACGTTGCTCTCCAAAGCAGTGTAGAATGTTTCAAAACTAAATTCGGATATGTTTAACATGTATTCTTGTATTCTGAATTTATAAAAATATTCATTGGGTTCTATAAAAATTTAAAGGACGAAAATAACCTTGACCAAAAATCATACCTGCAACTGCGCCACAACTGGAATGAATTTAGTTCCTGTAGGCCTGGGGCGGAGTTGGAGATCTTCTTGATCATTATTTTGGCTAATTTTGGCGTTTCCCAACCGAAGGTCTGAAAAATTGTCTGAAAGAAACACCGAATTCAAGTAAGTGCCAAAATGCATCCCAGCATTTTGAATTCGCCCGAGAGTCTTTTCGACACTCTCAATATCTGCACTCCTCTTCCCTCACGCTAATCAGTGTGACAGTAAGTTTGGATATTTAATTGAGCTGAACAAAATTATCGGTCTTTAGGAACTTAAATAATGGAGACATTGAAGTAAAGAAAGTGACGTGTGAATTAAATAATAAGGCTAGTTTTAAAAACATGATGGTGTTTTGACAAGCTAATAATTACGCTTTGGAAAATAGAAGTTGGTCATGTATATCTTAGAGTTCATTATTTAAAATAGTGAGTAGATTATAGTATTTCAATATCTAATGTACCTTCATTGGATTATATCCAAATTAGCTTATCTCTTCATTATTTTTGAGTAAATTTGATTTTAACATAAAAAATTAAAGAATAAATTGGTTAAAACCGGAAGAGCCATTTATTAGACACTTGCTATATATTTAATTGAAAAATACTCGTTTTAAAATAGTTTCGGGTCCCAGATTAAGAACCTCTAAAATAAGATGCTATGAAACGTTCATTATAATGTTATAGCCCGTGTGTGGACCTAATTTTGCTTGAATGTAGCGGTGTGGCGTCCACCACTTGACCACCACCACCAATTTTTTAATGACGCCACCGTTTAAATGTGAAGCCCTTTATTGATTATTCTAACCGTTCATATAGAATGCTATTCGGTGATGTAATTTCTATAATTTCATTTTCTCAAAGGTTCTAGCTCCTTCCCTATAAATAAGCCGACAGAGACATTTAATATATTTCTGGGAGCCTCACAAGATTTTTACTTCGTGAGTGTATATAATAATATTTTTATCTTTCGAGGTTTATGCTTTTTCACCTGTTCTCTGTAAGTTGATATAGTTATTATTTCTATATATTTGGTGTTGTTGTTTTTTTAAATTTAAATTTAATTTTAATAATTAAATTGAGTATTTATTTATTTATTTATTTAGGCATTTTTATATAGCGCTTACCTTAAAGCTCTAAGCGCTTTACAATTATTAAAAACATGTAAACTAAGTAAAATAAAAATGAGACACTAGGATAGTTACTACTATACTATAGAAACAATTAAAATGGCTATAAAACGATGACACTTTGGTATTGCTAATACCACTATTTTGGTATCTTTTGTCTTTGCATACTGGTTCTGTACTTTGTTACGTATTGTTCCTCTAAGGAGCCGAATGGTAAAAAGAAATTTAAACAAAAAAAAATAACAAAAAAAAAAAAAGCCGTAATTTTAATTATGTTTTTTTGTTGAATTTCCTTTACATTTAAACGTTCAAAAAATTTGCACGAAATGAAAAGGAATATTTTGGTATCTTTTGTCTTTTCATACTGGTTCTGTACTTTGTTACGTATTGTTCCTCTAAGGAGCCGAATGGTAAAAAGAAATTTAAAAAAAAAAAAATAACAAAAAAAAAAAAAAGCCGTAATTTTAATTATGTTTTTTTGTTGAATTTCCTTTACATTTAAACGTTCAAAAAATTTGCACGAAATGAAAAGGAAACACTTTCAACGGTTAAACATTAACATTTGATTATCAACAATGATGATATTTGAATAATGACATATAGCTGAACACAGAAAAATGCAATGAATAGATATTATTGAATATCCCAAAGACTCAGCACCTCTTGGAATTTTGTAATGACTTAATGGTGCACACAATATGAACACAATTAAAAAACGTTTTTGATCCTGTACATGAATGCATTTAAACAATGCTATAGATAAGGTAAAGCCATTTTCTTTAGGGAAAGATTTCCTTTATAAAGCATTAACAAATCACATTAGCACATTAGCATTTTTTTTTTTTTTTTTTTATCACGCATTCTGGTAAGGAATCAATTTTTTCCCCTTTCCATACACATCGTTTTGGGCAATGGGAAAAAGACCATTTCAAATGAAATTGTCAAATAAAATTGCCAAATGACTGTACATGAATGCATTTAAACAATGCTATAGATAAGGTAAAGCCATTTTCTTTAGGGAAAGATTTCCTTTATAAAGCATTAACAAATCACATTAGCACATTAGCATTTTTTTTTTTTTGATCACGCATTCTGGTAAGGAATCAATTTTTTCCCCTGACCATACACATCGTTTTGGGCAATGGGAACAAGACCATTTCAAATGAAATTGTCAAATGAAATTGCCAAATGGAATTGTCAAATGAAATTGTCAAGTGAAATTGTCAAAATGAAATTGTCAAATGAAATTGTCAAAATGAAATTGTCAAAATGAAATTGTCAAAATGAAATTGTCAAAATGAAATTGTCAAAATGAAATTGTCAAAATGAAATTGTCAAAATGAAATTGTCAAAATGAAATTGTCAAATGAAATTGTCAAATGAAATTGTCAAACGAAATTGTTATGACTTTATCTGAATTATAGTTTATACATTATAGGTATACATACATCGTTATTGTTCAATGTTTTAAAATGGCAAGTGAATTGATAAAAATAATTTTAAACAAAAATAAAAAAGCTTGTCAAGCACAACGTAAATGTAGGATTTAAAGCCTGAATAAAGTTAGCCACAGTCTGGCAGATGTTAATGAGACTAATACATTAAATGACTTCTAATTACATGACAATGAATTGATCTTTGACCTGCCTCACCACATCCTCCCACCCAGACCTAACTAATGCTTTTCTTTTCCATGCTTGGATTCCCAGCAGATGTAGATCTTTTTTCCCCACATCATCCATCCATGAGAACTGATTCAAAAGTCCCATCAGACACACCTCTATGCCTGTGTCTCTAAACCTGAAATTATTGAGATTTTAAAAAAACAATTAATTTAATTTCTGATTTAATAAATGCTGATGACAACAACTGTTTTTCTGAAATAGTTGAAGAAATAAATCTGCGGTTGGACCTAGGGGTCAATGTAATGGCCTACAAAAAGCCAGGTAACTGTGGGGCAGGAGTTTGAAAGGCAAGGCACGATTCGTCACAGCTGGGACAGTAAGTTGACATGATTCTTCACAGCTGTGACAGTAAGTTGACACGATTCTTCATATCTGAGACAATAAGTTGGCATGATTCTTCACAGCTGTGACAGTAAGTTGACACGATTCTTCAAAGCTGAGACAATAAGTTGAACTTATTCTTCACAGCTGGGACAGTAAGTTTACTTGATTCTTCACAGGTGAGACAGTACGTTTACTTGATCCTTCACAGCGGAGAGAGTATGTTTAGGCGGATTAGCGAAACACATCGTTCTTACGACGCTCCTCATTATCCTCTTATGTTTTATCGTGTAATAGATGGTTGCTGTATC